TCCCCCCCCCCCCCCCAATATTAATTGTTGTGGAAAAAATATTGGGTGGAGACGAGGTCTGCCTTATCTTTCACTTTTGTTGATCGAATTAAGGTCCCTAGCTCGACATTTGTTTTATTATTGGAAGAAAAGTCGAATTATGCATGAATGACTTGAAAGTTTGAAAGGCAAGACAAGGCATTTCTCAATTGTCATTTGACCATACAAGTTTCATCAATTCCAGCTGCCATATTGCCTTGAGGGATACGGTGATTTGGATTTGGACACCATCGAATGTGAGACTAAATTTTGAAGGGATTAATGGCATGGTAGTGGCGTCGTAATTTCATAATATTAGAGCATAATTACTGCCTCCACGCAAACGATAGTTTGGATTTGCCTAGTGGGATAGATAAATTCGGATTGGGACACAGTTGAATTTGATCCTACATTATGAAGGAATTAATGGCATGACAACGGCATTGTGATTTCATAATATTAGAACATAAATATTGTTATTGCATTTGACATTACATGATCTATCAAATTTTCTTTATCTCGATCTCTTAATTTTAAATTGTATTTTAAATAATTTCATAAAACGGACCAGAAAGATAAGAATAGCTATAAAAGTCGCTGTGTAACCCTTAATGAAGATGGAATAACACTGGAGTACATGGCTCTCATAAATGTACTGTAAGCAAAACAAAAGAAACGCAAACTATATTTGGAAAAGAAAAAAAGAAAAAAAAGAAACGAAATAAAGAAGAAAAGAAAAAATAATTTAAGAATGAAATACAAAAGTTATAGAATATTTAATTAATTTGTAGTATGCAGAGGGAATTAGTGAATGATTAGCCCTGGTACCTGCCATTCGCCGCGGGGCCGAGTTGGTTTTATTGAGTAAAAAATGATAATCAAGCACTGCAAGGGTGTTTTTTATAAAAAAAAGAAAATATGCAACTTGAGTAGAATAAGTTGATTTCATTTTAATCTGATAAAAAAATAGGTGAACAAATTTTTTAAAGAAATTGATTAGGATAAACTTAAAAAAATATATTTTTTAAGTTTATCCAATAAATAATATATCTCTATTTACAGCCCATTAAATACAAAAAAAATATCAACTCGTGTTAACGTTTTAAACATGTGACTTGAGTCATTAGACCTGAAATATCCTATCTGAAAAAACAATGAAGTTCAATTCCTAATCAATCAAATAATGAAGAATGAAATTGATTTTTTTTATTATACAAAATGATTAAAAAGAGCAACAATTAAAAGAATAATAATCAAAATTGAATACAAAATAAACTTTATATTTGATTGAAAGGTGAAGTTGAAAAGAAAAATCAATTTAGCAAAATGATTAAAAAATATCAAAAGAATGAGGATCAAAATTAACATAAAAAATAAAAATAATTTTTTTATTACATAGTGAAATTGAAAAGAAAAATGATTTTAACAAAAGGAAAAAAATGAGGACCAAGTTCGTAAAAATAATATACCATAAATTTGGATTGAATGATAGAATTAAAAACAAATAAAACTATTACAAAATGGCCATGAAAAAAAATAGAAATCAAAATAATAAGGACCATGTTGAAAAACATAATATTATAAATTTGGGTTGAAGGATAAAATTGAAAAGTAATAAAATTTTTACAAAATAGCAGCCATGGAATAAAATTAAAAATAAACAGAATATAGATAAAATTTAGAAAGTAAAATATGTTAAATTGGAATTGATGGACAAAATTAAAGACAAATAAAACTTTTAGAAATGGACCAAAAAATTTTGAAATCAAAAGAATAAGTTTTGAACTTGAAATACCAAGAATAAAGAGGATCGAGTTGTTATTTGAGGGGGAGAAAAGAGAAAAAAATGAAAAAAAGATCTCTAGAGACAAACTGACCACCTAACATCTATACGTATCTCTTTAACGAGAAGAGGACATAATGCTGTTTATAATGACATGATGGAAGAGAATTTTCAAACACCAAAAGGCATCGTATGTGCTATGTAGTGTGCATTAGCTCCTCCCACATGCCTATGAGTGTTATATACATGTGTATATATATATTTACTTTTTATATTTAGTCAAATCTAAAATTGCTACTAAGATGACATGGTAATAATAAATTTTTTTTATAAGATGAAAAGGCCTATTGACAACAGTTTTAAACTAATAGTATTGATTAATACTTAATAGTGTATTTTTATCAAGATTTTATATTAATATTTTGCACTTGAAGTATCAATAATTCCTTAACTAAAACATGTTTTATAATAATAAGTTTGATATTATAAGGTACCTTTAATTTATGGTAAATATTCATCTTAAATGTAAGCTTATCACATAAATAAAAGAATTGATTGATAAGTTTAACTACTGAAATTGAAAACATGTTAATTACAGAAAAACTATTTTGAAAATACTAAATTTCCCCTTGATGCTAGGATTAAATTTTTTATATGTTAAAAGACATATAGGTCTTCTCACCATGCTTTTAAAATGTAAAAAGATTTTTCTTTATAATTAATTTGATCAGAACTAATGAACCATGTGCAAATACCTTAATGCTCCTAATACCTAGTTTTAAATTTTATGGTGTGAACAGAAAAATCACCCTTATACTATTTCACTGAACAATGCTTTTAATATGTATTTACAATGTTTTTCCAAAACAATGCTTTTAATATGTATTTGTAATGTTTTTCCAAGTCCTTATAGCTTGTTTTAATATGAGAATTAATATTTAGTCTTGTTTCACTAGACCAGTTTGCCCTATTTAGGTATCTATTATTTTTTATGTTTTGAGCTATTTAGCTTAAAATTAGGGGTGTTTAAAAAAGCGATTCATTTGTAATATTTATATTATTTGACCTAATGTAACCCATCAAATTAAAATAATGTAAATATTATAGATTATAACTGGTAAAAAACACTAAGAAATCGATATCATAGGTCAAGTTGAGGGTTGGAATTTTGAAACTCGGTCAACTTAACCCAACCCATTTACCCTATTTATTTTTGTATTTCATTGTTTATGAATTGTGTATTTATTTTTTATTTTATTTGGAAATTTTTTGGTTTCAAAGTTCTTGTTAGTGGGCTTTGTATTATTTTTCTTTAATGTAAAAAAATAGATTTATTTATTTATTTATTGGTGGGAAAGGGAGGTAATTAGAATTTAATGGTGGTACAAGACATGATTATTAAACCTAATATTAGGGGTGCCATGTCAGCTAAAATCCATATTGTTGGTTTGCCTCTAAATATGCACCCATGAAAATAACAATATAAACTCAATGTGTGGATATATATAATATCTATAAAAAAATTTAGTCAAACCTAATATAAACAATATGCTTTATTTTAAAAAAATTAAATGAATCAACTTTATAATTTGTAAAATATCATCATTTTAATTAAATAAAATTATAGACTTAAACCCAATCCAATAAAAAAGAGCCAATCTTGGGATCAATGTGCTTGTCTTATAAGGAAAACTTTAATGGTGGTGGTTTCATCCATCAATCATGTTGAAACTAGTGGATCAAGTTTATAAAGATTTTTTTGAATTTAATTTTTAAAGTAATTTTAAAGTATGTTGGGGATTAGAAATGACATAATTTAGTTTTGTTAGAATGTTTTAAAGATGTTTTATGATTAAATCAAGTTGAAAATTAAGTTTTGAGGGTCAAGACAATCATCCAAGGTAATTAATAAATATAGGAGAATTAATAATTAACCTTGATTTAGTATATCCTTTCACCTTATTTGGATATCTATTGTTTTTTTATATATATTTTAAGCTATTTAGCTCAAAATGTCTAAATCGCTATTATAATGATAGCCTACACATCTTTCAATATTATTACTGCCAACTAGAAAAAGCAAGAAAGAAAGAATATGGTGCTTTTCTATTCACATAAACAATTAAAAATAAAGTATCTTAATTTTTTATTTTAAATTATACATTTATTTTTTTTAATTTTAATTTTTAATATTTTATTAATTTTAAATTGATTAACATAATTTAAATTTGTTTTCTTTGCATGATATTTAATTTTTATTAATATCTATTTTTATTATTATATCATTAAATAAAAAAATATAAAAAATAAAGTTTCAAATTTAACGGAGCTCATAATTTAGATTGTAGGTTTTTTGAGTTAAGCTACAAAACTTGTATTGATTTAATATATCAATATTTTAATATTAAAAAATATTATTTTTTTTTAAGCTAATCCATGTTTTTTATTGTTATCTATATTTAGACCCCACAAAAAAAAGTAGAAAGACTTGTGAGAAAAATCACAAATTTTTGAAAAGATTTCTGGATTTTTTTAATTTTTTAAAATAATATTTTATAATACAATATAATAAAATAATTGTGTTTGGGCTTAATCCAATCTTGTGGTATGAGCCCACCTCTGCTGGGCACAAATTTGACCTAGAGAAGGACCGGTCTTTGTCTTCTCCAGCTTTCCTCCGGTTCAGCTCAGCTCAGCTCAGCTCTGGTGATCAAAGCAGAAGTAAAAGTAGTCGATATGGATTTGTGTGGCTTTAACGCGCATGGAAAACATCGGGAAAGGGTTGATCCGAGATGGGACAAGATTCGTGATGTTTCTAGTCAAGTACCAATGTGTGGTGTTCTAGAAGAAATTGGGAGGAGTCGAGACTCGCCCCCAAAGAAACTGGGTTGTGACTTGGCCTAAACAAAGCTTATAACTAGGTTGAGGACGGCCACACGATAGCTGGGCTGCGTCTCGACCCATAATAAACTGGGTCGAGGACGACCCAAACTGGGGTTGATTAATAGCAGTGCATGCAGAAAGAATTGACGTTCTGTATGCAGCAAACTTGCTGCAAGCAGGCAAGAAAATGAGTGGCGGGTAAGAGAAGGTTTTCCCTTTTCTGCAACCGTTCCTGCTTGATTCTCTCGTCTTTGCATCCTCGGGTCAACTCGGTATGTACAAGCATCACCCCTTTTCACGCCCGGTTTGTACCTACAATACACGATATTAACAAGGGAAACAGTTTTGTACTTCACTGTGCCAGCTTTGAAAGAAGACACAGAGGAGTCTCACCGTCATCTAAGGGCTGAGATTTTACCCCTAGCACCTGCGATTGAGATGAGAGGATGTTAGAGTGGTTTTTAAGTTTTGGTTTGGCTATATAAACAAGCTGCGTGGGAGAAGAGAAAAACAGAGGGAGGAGAAAAATAAACACAGCAGAGGCACAAAAGAAAACAGGGGACAAGAAGAAGGTTGAGAGTAGAAAAATAGAAAAGAAAACAACGAGAAACAGAGAGGAGATTAACTGTAGTCTATCCTACCTTGCCGAAAAGGAATTTAACAAGGTCTAAAAAGTTTTTAAAAAGCTCCTAACGGCAAAAGAGGAAGGCTTTCTTTGGGTCATCAGAGGCAAAGAAAAAGGCAAGGACTGCCCATCGGTTTGTACTTTACTTTTGTAAGCAAGATTTGCAGGTATAAGTTTCAGCTTTTTCTTCCTTGATATATTCAAAGAAAAAGGCAAGAAGCTGTTGTTACCATGGAAAATAAGATGGGATTTTCGGCTGTAGCTGGGATGAGTTCACACCCAAGAAAAAATGGGTCCTGTCAGCCCAAAAAAAAAAAAGAGGTCTTGATAGGCTCGCTAGTCCGGACCTAAGCAAAAATAGGTCCTATCATTCCAAAAAAAAAAAAAGCGGTTTAGACTGGCTGCAAAGGTAGCTGGGTCAAGTCTGGATCCAAGTAAAAAAGAGTCCTGCCAGCCCCAATGAAAAGGGATCTTAACCAGCTCCAAAGGGAGTAGGGTCATGTCTAGACCCATAAGAAAATAGATCCTGCCAGCCCCAAGGAAAAGGGGTATTCATCCTCGACTTTTCCTTACACTCAAAAACTTCATCCAACCCTTTCTAGCAAAGAACGTTCTCATCTAAACCTATCACTCAATGAAGTGTTTTACATGGTTTTGACTGTCTGTGTCCATTAGCAGAGAAGAAAATTTATCACTGTAATCATAATTAATTAAAAAATAATTTTTTTAAATTTTTATTCAACACTACATTAAAATGATTTAAAAATATAAAAAATAATTTAAAACAAATAAAAAAAAATATTTTTAAATAAAAAAAAAGCTGTTAATCTCAAATAAATTCGATATTAACAAATACAAAAATAAAAGCTTTTTTTAATGCTTTCTCTAAGTATAATTAAGTATCTATTTGTTGAGAATATATAATAGCCTCAATGGATACATGTTATATAAGATGCCTTCAATATTTTGGGAAAAATAGAGGCCATAGGTGACACTTTACAATGCAAACCACAAAGATAGTGACTAATTGCTCTAGATTCACTTTTCTCAATAACTTGAGCTAACAACCACTCGAAGCAAATCCAACCATTCCCTTAGCAACATCATAGACCACCTCGTATGTCTTCTGTTGAAGATTTCCAAAAATTGCTAAATCTTTGTCATTACCATTATCTATGAATGCTAAACACATCTCTTCCAGACCATTCACAGAGATCAAGATCCCCGAATCATCAATATCCACTTCAACCCCACCTTCGAAGAAGATACTAATCTGAGGTAATGGAATATTGTCATTGGCATTCTTGCTGAAATCATAGCATGGTTGCAAACCGGATGTTCCATTTGTCAAAGTATAGTTTGTCATCATTTCTTGAAAAGCCGAGCTGAGAGCAGAGTGTGCTGTGGATGGCAGAAATGTCAGTGTTGTGCCAGAGTCAATTATCGTTCCAGAGGTCCTAAAAACTGATGGATCTATTAGTAGTTTGCGACCTCCAACACTAATTCCAGAAACGTCTAGGCCGTACAATTCCGGAATTTTTGTGGTTATTGGAGTGAATTTTGCAGCTTGTGAGACTCCACCACCGAAGCTGAGGTGACCAGTCGAGCTTGAAGATGCTGGTAAGCAATAAGAGAAGAGGTTTTTGTATGTTGAGGAAGTTTGTGATGGTAAGGCTATAGGGGAACGGCCCAGTCCTAGCAACCCCGCTGCACCATGGAATCTGCCGTCATTCCTTTCACCACAGCCGATCACAAAGTTCTCGAACACGTCTGAGGGTGTAATGGTTAGCGTTTCTGTGGCAAGAAATCCGACAGTGTAACCAGTCCCGTATTTGACGCCATAAAGGCATGTATTTGAGGAAGAGCAACCCTGGGGGCTTTCTGCAGGGATGTTAAACACATGCTTGAAAATGAACCATATCCAAATAATGATTCAAAAATATATTGTCACCTACAATTAAACCATATCTTTAACAATCACCTGGTTGTGGATTAATTTGATTGTTAAATCTAGAATTTGTTAAAGCAATAATACTGATTACCTTTACCAATTGACTTGCACGGTTCTGTGGAACACGAAAGGTTTTTGTACGTGGTTGATTTGGTAGGATCGAACTTCTCATCATTCTGTGGAAAGCAACCCCCTGAACATGGCTCGCATTGGGTCCAAGTAAGGTCACTACCAGTATCAAATAAGAGCGAGAAATCTTTTTTAGGTGTGCCAAGACCCACGGTAACAGCATATCCGCCTCCAAAGCGAGTGGTTGGAACTGTAGTCTTCATCTCATTAAAAACACCAGTAGTGCTTGAGTTCATGGAAAGCTTAGCTCGAATTGATTTCACTCGGAGTTGGTCTTGACGGAGGATTTCGGCTGCCGAGGGAAATGTTTTCGGATCTCCAGTCACCGTGCATGGACCATACTTGCTTACCACTTTTAGGGACG